GTATGAAAAATGTATTCTGAATATGACATGATAAAATATTATATAAAAGTATCTAAAATATTATTTTTTATTTTTTTTTCTTTAAAAAAAGAGGATCAATAGTGGTTCCCCACTTACCCCCTGGATGACTCTTGTTAACATCCGGATCGGTAAACCTGCATTAAGAAATTCCAGATGACTTATTAGAAGGAAGATGATCATCGAACCGACGTTTTTGCCAACACCACCCCGGTTCAAACGACAGACCGGACCGAACTACCGAAGACCGAGGTCAACATCCACCGAGGATAACATGAACCGAGGTCGTCACCTCTTTAAGCAGGTGACAAGGCACCTACGAGGGACTCTCCTGCTCCACAAGATCTGTCATCATTTATGTGGGGCCCCCTGCCTCGAACCGCCCATAAAAAGCCACTTTATTCAAAAAGTAGCACACGAATCCCCATGTATCAACCCGAAATTACTATAAATAGTACACCCATGGCTTTTGTACGGGGATCGATCTCTCTCCGAACTGAGAAAACTTTACTAAGTAACACGTAAAAGCCCATCACGGCTCTTCACCTCGGTTCACCTCGGACCGGGGCCATCATTGAGTAAATTTTACATGCTTTACGTCCAAATCATTCACAATTAGCCGCTTAATCATAAATTATATCGTTGTTAAGAATCACATAACAACAACTCTAACTCGTGACCTCTTTGGTCTCAAGTGAGGGGTGCTACCACTGAGCTACGCCCTTCTTGTCAAGTATCTAAAATATTATAAGCCTAAATAAATACATTATAAAGTTTTGAAAGAAAATTCACCTAGTATATATAAAATAAATATTGACATGATGCTATAATTTTAACGATACTACCGTACTTGAAAATTTGATTATAGAAGATTTCAAAATTATTATTATTAATTTTTTAAATAATTTAAGTACAGAAGATTTCAAAGCTATTATTATTTTTTAGTTACTGTAAATATTATTATTATTATTATTCTTTTAAGTAATTTTAGTACATATTTAAAATTATTATTATTTAGTTACTGTAAAAAGAAATTTTGTACGCCTAAAATTTTACGCTTTATGTAGATTTATCAATTTTACAAATAAAATGAAATTTATTTTATATTGAGTGGAGACTAAGACAATTTTGAAAAAAAAAAAAAAAACTGTCTATTTTCAAAATTATCCTCTTGATTTTTGAAACAATACATTTTTAATTTGGCTTAATTATTGTAAAATTTTGAAACTTATGGAAAAAAATTAAAGTAAATGAATTTCGATTAATTTGAAATTCTTATACCATTTTGAATTTCGTGCAAATTGAAACCTAAAAAAAATGAAATTCATTATAATTTTGTAATTTCCAAGAGATTTGTTAATTTTTAAAGTGACACAAAATTCTTCATTTAAGGATAGCGTCTAAGGATAGAAGTATGTGATTAGATATTTTTTAATTCAATTTGAACAAATCCTTTATATTAGGAAGAGATTTTGAAGTAAGCCCAATTTTATGGCAACTAAAATGAGAAGGGATTTTGAATTTTAAATTTTCAATTCAAGTTTTAAGGTAATTTTTTCGGCAATCTGATTGTTTGGAATAAAATACACAATTAAATTTTTTAAATCAAATATGAGAAAGGATTTTGAATTTCAAATTATATTCAATGATCGAATTTTTTAGGGGTTTAAATGAGCTGTAATTTTTTTAAATGAACTAAATCTACCAAATAAATGAATTGTAATTTATTTTTTAAAAAAATAAAAGCATCCGATTAAAACAAATGTAGTAGCCGAGTTGATGTTAGAAGAGTTTCTGATTTTTTGTAAATACTAATGTAAGTTTATATTATTAAATTATGCGCAATTTATTTTTTTTTTTAAAATAAAATTTGCAATGTGGTACACAATTTATGTTAAAGAAAGTTTATTTTTTTTTTTAATTTGTGAAAATGAAAAAAGAACAGCCTAATCTTGCAAAAGTAAATAACAAACTTCACTTAACAAACTCCACATTTAAATGCAATAATTAATGATGAACGTTTGTAAATAAAAAAATAAAAAAAAAATTGCTATTAATAGCATGCAATTAATGCTCAATCATATTTGACCACAATTTGACTTGTTATTTTTAAAAAAGGTAATTCTTTATATATATATATATATATATAGATAAAATTTTAAATAAAAGAGTATCCCTTTTGACTATAGACCGAATCTTTAAAATCGTCAAGATTCCCAATAAAATGAAACGTGTTTCCATGAAAAAATCTCGAAATCTTTTATGATAAGTACTTCCCAAGCAAAAATAATCTTATTCGTCTGTAAGCAAATAGTTTTCTTTTTTCCAGTTTTAGGATAACTCTACAAATATCATTTGAGATTGTAATATTATCAATATATTTAAATAATATCAATTAGTGATTGTTACGTATTATATCAATTTTATTATACTATTCATCTATTACAATATTTTAACTAACTATCACTTTATATCATCTTTCTCATTTTTTACATCAAATCAATTTTAATTATTTTAATTCAAATATTATTTTAATATCAACTCAAAATACCACTAACTAACCATACCGCTTTTTCAAAATTAGCCATACCAAACCAAAAGTATCTAATAAAAAAATTATATCCAAGCATTCCCGTAGTGTGATATCGTTCATTGCGCTACAATTTTTGTTTTAACTTTTATTTTCTTTTTAATTGATTTTTATTCTATATATTATTTTGACAAAATATTCATAAGTAAAATTATGTATTTTGTTAAAAAAAACAAAATTTTATTTTATTGTTACATTTATATATATATATATATATATTTTGTAATAATATATTTCAGGTAGAGTAAAATATAGCACCAAAGAATTACTAGAGATGAAAGTTAAATTTTGACATTCTTTGCTCCAGAATAGTGTCAACTCCAAACTAGAGGTGCAGAGGATTGGAATGGTCTAGGTACTAGTCATTGATAATGACTAAATGTGTTAAATTTTCATTATATTTAATTATAAACATGAACTGTAAAATTACAACTATTTTATAACGAGTGAAATAAACATGCATGTAACTCATATATTAAATTATTATATATCATAAAATAAATTAAATGATATTAATAATCAAAACGATTCTTGTACTAATCTATAAATCTTCATTTCTTTAATATATGCAATTTCTAATTATAGCTCACGCATTGTATGGGCTACGTACTAATTGTTGGAAAATCAGTTATAAAACTTGGGTTTGACCCGATTTTGACTGAATTTTTGATGGCTAAATATTTAATTTGAGTTGAATTAAATATTGTAGAAAAAATCTACGTTCCGAGTAGATACTCGTGGTATATTTATTTTCTCAAAACTGATTTTCGGTGAGTGAAAAATAAATTGTCAAAGTTAGACATAAAAGGACACGTAAAACGTTGGTTGTGGGAATTGAAGGATCAAGTGTCACTCCCACATTGAACTCTTAAATGAGTTTAACTCTCTTTATTATAATAAAGAGAGTTGGAGAGGTTACAACAAGCACAAAGCTATGCACCAAGTTTGGTGTTGTTTTCGGCCACACGCGCGCGCCCGCCAGCCGGCCGGCCGGCATTTGGACTCGGTTTTGACCCAACTCGAGTTAAACCTCTCCAGGTACAATGAACATGGACATGTGACCTTTCATGTGGAAAGTGATTCAGGTGGATGTTAATGGCTGGTTAATGGCCTTAACACCTGGTTAATGGTGTAGTAACTCCTGGTTAATGGGGTAGTAACACCTGAATGATTTTACT